TCGCGCGCGCACGCCGAAATCTCCAAAAACCATTGGGTTCTTAAGAATTTTAGCACCGCGAATCATAAAATCACACGAATCGCACCGTAGGTCCTCGAAAAACACCTGCACGACTTTTCAAAATTTCCACCCGCGCGCGCTGTCCGAATCCTAAAAAAACCAATTGTTTTCCAACATTTATGTTACATGAGCTCGCGCGAGCTACTTTCGCACGCTCTTGCAACGGGGTTCGCGCGCCTGCCAGGGGCCATAATCCCTTGCGGTTGCGCCATAGGTTGCGCCCTCGGCCGCCGAGAATAACACGCCCTCCTATTGGTTGCGCCATAGGTTGCGCCCTCGGCCGCCGAGAATAAAACGCTCCCTACTGGTTGCGCCATACGTTGCCCCAGGAGGCCTTCAAGAGGCCTCAAGAGCCCGCCGTGAGGACCCAATAAGCCCCCAAGAGGCCCCAATATGCTTCCAAGAAGCCCCCCACAGCTCAAGAGGACCCCAAGCGGCTTCAGGAGGCTTCCCCCCTATCCCAAGAGGACCCCAAGCGGCCCCAGGAAGCTTCCGACTGATCACTGTCACATCCGTAGCCATCTCGGATCAAGGTATCGCCTGTGTTCTTGGCTGGGTCATGGCTTTGTCGGCGAAAGCCCTTGACGACCAGTATGGCCCAGAGCTGTCGCGGCCTCCCTTGGCTTGCTCTCTCTATGTCATGCGCAACGAATGCACGGTGCGGGGCACATGCGGGGCCCAAACAAGTGATCAACCTCTGCGGGTGTGTACTCCACGCCAGTGTAGTATCCACGATCGTCCGCGCGCCACGAAGTGAAGTGTCCTGACGTCATAGGGCGGGAAGCTGGGTGTGGGTGGTTCCCTAGAGTCGTGTGGATGTTTGGTAGAGCTTGCATTGCCCCCCCACGAAGTGGGGGTATTGGCTGGCGTCGCATGAAAACCCTGGCACTGGGGAGAACACTGAGCGTTCGGGTAAAATGATTGTTGTTGTTGTTGTTGTTGTTGTTGTTGTTGTTGTTGTTGTTGAACATTATTTATTCTAAAGAATAATTATTGTTGGGCCCCCTGGTGCGCGCCCCCCCCTGCGCCGCCTAGGCCGCAGCTACATTTTCATCATTTTCGTGAGGAAGCCTCAGGTAAAACGATGTGATCCTGATCCGGTTGTTTTGTTGTAATCCGTTTTCCCTTGCAAAAAAACACTATAAAATGACATTTCTTGTTCTAATATAATCAAATTTCAAGAATCCCTTGCAAAAAATAAGGTAAAGTGGACATTCGCGCGCGCAAGACGAAATCCTTCCAAAACCTTAGTGTTCGCAGCGATTTTAACATAAAAACATAAAAAACCAATGGTTTTTTCAACAAAAAAATGTCAAAATCTCATCCCGCGCGCTCTTGCGGATTCGTAGGAAACCCAACACTTTTTAAACATTTCTGTCAAACGGGCTTTGCGAGCAACTTTTTCGAACTTCTGCAACAACGGTTGCGCACCTGCCAGGGCCATCATCCCTGTCAAATAATA